CTCATTAAAATGTAGCATATAGGCTACTTATCTACTGTTTGTCCTTGTGTTTTATTCTCGGTCTCACATTTGTCCTGTTGTTTATAGTCATGTTTCATAACTAATTAATCAACTAAATCAATTACTAATCGCTTGTAAATTACTTGTTCTCAAACGGAATTCACAAAACATACATAAAAATTTTAGCATCACTTGATAATCATTTAAGAATGTATTGTAAAAATAAATAGGCTATTAAAACAAAATATATGTCCAGCGGCTTCTGCTGCCGGAGAAAAGTCCCTGGCTGAGATGCCGCTGATGGCCGCTGGAGATGCCGCTCACTGGTGGCCGCTGGAGATGCCGTTGCACTGATGGCCGCTGGAGATGCCGCTGCACTGATGGCCGCTGGAGATGCCGCTGCACTGATGGCCGCTGGAATTGGAGATGGAGATGCCGCCGCAATTTCAGCTTTGTAGGCCTAACAGCTTATTTGAATTAATTTCAGAATTGTGCAGCACATCAGAAACTCATTTCTCTATTCTGTATTAACGGAACTCATTTCTGTACACGGAATAACCGTTTATATTCATATTTAATAACATTTCAAATTAATTTAATAAACAGCATTTTCTGAAACATTAAGTGATATTGATTGACACTTCTTGCTGGAAACCTATAACGTTACCTAGCCTGTATCAATAGGCTACTCAGAACAGTTGCAGCTCTCTGATGTAATGGAGAATCAGAAACTCAAAACTTTATTTACAAAGGATATGCTAAGTTACACATGATATGCTACTCTGTGGTAGCTACATAATGTTATTTAGTTAAAATGCAGTTAATAAAATAAAAAATATTGATTACTGGAGATCCCGCTGCACCAGAAAGTCCTGGCCGCTGGAGATGCCGCTCACTGGTGGCCGCTGGAGATGCCGATGCACTGGTGGCCGCTGGAGATGCCGCTCACTGGTGGCCGCTGGAGATGCCGATGCACTGATGGCCGCTGGAGATGCCGCTCACTGGTGGCCGCTGGAGATGCCGATGCACTGATGGCCGCTGGAGATGCCGCTGCACTGATGGCCGCTGGAGATGCCGCTCACTGGTGGCCGCTGGAGATGCCGATGCACTGATGGCCGCTGGAGATGCCGATGCACTGATGGCCGCTGGAGATGCCGCTCACTGGTGGCCGCTGGAGATGCCGATGCACTGATGGCCGCTGGAGATGCCGATGCACTGATGGCCGCTGGAGATGCCGCTGCACTGATGGCCGCTGGAGATGCCACCGGAAGTGCCGCTTCGAGATGCCGATGCCGCATTTTGCGCTAGCCGCCTATTCTCTTTAAGTATACTTAAGTGGACTTTTATTTCCCTGAAATTATATTATCTGCAAGCAGTTTTTAAAAAAATATACTTTTAAGTTTATTTTAGTACACTACAAGTGCACATTAAAAGCAATTAAGCATCTTTACAAGGGAGAAGGCAAATCATGGCAGCCATCATGAAAATGCAATCAGCTATTTTCATTCATGCAAGTACAGCCCATGTATAATTAAATGAGGAAAAATCCAAATCTCAAAAAGCTGCTTGCCAAAATTACATTTTAATAACATATTTCAAATCATCAATAAATTATGAGATGAATTAAATCATAAAGTTTGTTTCTTAAAATACTTTGTTTCTCAAATAAAATATATTTTTAGCTGACTCATCTGCATTTTTTGGTTATTATCTTGTGTCCTTATTTGGTGTAGAAGTATGATTCACAACTGGATTAAACAGCTGAAGGAGCTCACAGAAAAACAGATGCTTTAGATGGTACAGTATAATACAAATGTCACCTTTCAGTTGTTCTGACTGGCCTGCTGAATAAATAATACACCTAATGAAGATGTCACAGCAAGGGCCAAGCATGTCATCTTGGAAGGTGGACAGGATGACAGGCCGCTGACATTAACCAACACAGCAGCCTGCACTGGGACTCTGCCTGTCAACGTGGTATTGCCCTCATGCAACCGTAGAAGCGGCTTGTCTGTTTGACGCATACACACCTCCGGTTTCTTTTACTGGTATTTGTGCGTCCAGTGGGAGTCTCAGGCCCGGTTCTGCCAGCACTGCTATCAGGCAGCTGAGTTTGTGCAGAGTCTATTAAGACGGTCTCCATCGTTAGAGAGACAGAAGCAGCTGGCAGTCAGGGTTCTTTAGGGAGCCGTGGCGAGTGATGTTCAGGGGGCAGGCGATTAGAGGAACATTTCAACCTGTTGGGCGAGTCTTCACATATGAACCTTTGCCTGTTTGAAAGGTATGAGCAAGGCAGGAAGAGATGGGGCAATGGAATCTCCTTTTAGTGAAAATTTCTTAAAGTGTGTGATTTCTGTGCCTCTAGCATCACCAACGAAATTGCAAAAATTATGGTTTCCAGACAGGTTTTCCACCTCAAACTCCCTCCATTAGTTTTTCCAGATCTTCCTAGAAAATAAGACCAAAATAATAAATAATAATTTGATAATAAATTATTTTAAAAGTCCTACAAAATTGGTAAAACATCTGAAATACAAAGACACTCAACAGCCAACGTAATGCCCTTTTTCAGCTATTTTCAGTACAGGTCCTATGTACTTGAATGGGTGAGGCTGCAGTCTCTGAAAGTGTTTGTCAATGTCACATTTAAATAACATATTTCAAATAAATATATTTAAAATATAATAGTAAAATAATAACAATAAATAAATATATACACAACAAAATGATAAACTCTTACAACAATGGTATCATCAATTGAAAATTAATGCAAAGAAGCGTTTTTGTCAGGCTAGTCCTGCGAATGCGCATGCGCAACTTAACAGGCTATTATGTAAAACAGTTAATTTGGCTCCTTTATTTGAAAGACGGGACTTCCATTTGTCTATCAAATTTGATCGAGTTCTTTTTTTAAAGTGTAAGGCAGGACCATTGGTACCATATTGAGCATTACAATTTCTCTCACTCATTTGATATGATATAATGTAACCTGCCTTGACCATAACAGGACAAGCCAACTCTCACGCCACACATCCATTTTCTCAAGCAGTTAAAAAACATTGCGGATCAAAGAGGACACTGACAATGCGCCGACAGACACAGAGCAGGTTACTTTTGTAATGAAACACTTTGTGAATTTTATTACAAAATTCAAAACAATAAAATTAAAACCTTTTTGGCACTCAGGGTTCACCCAAAAATGAAAATTCTGTCATATCATAGGGTATACATGGATTTCTCGGCAACGTCATCACTGCTTGTGCACGCAACTGGGAGGGAGAAAAAAATACGTGTTTCGTGGTTTCGTGTAGTATAGTGGTGGTGTCTGTAACGTAAACAAGCGTAACGTAACTTATAAAAGCACATTCGCGGGCTGTCCAGTAGCCTAGAAACTGCACTGCTAACATTGGCTATTATTACTAGCCTAACAGTATCACTGCAACATTAAAGACAGACAATCAGATCCAACTAAAATCACGTTTTATTGAGTCAGCTGTTATATACAAACATCAGTTTTATGATCTCTTTATGAACTTTTTTAAGGATCAAAGTGGTTACTGTCAATGAAGGAACAGAAATCGCTCAGATTTGAGTAAAAATATCTTCATTTGTGTTCTGAAGATGAAAGGAACTACATGTTTGGAACAATATGAGGGTAAGTAGCCTAAATGATGACAGGATTTTCATTTTTGGGTGAACTATAACCTTAATGTGGCATGACAGAACGCTGTAGCCACCGCCTCATTTCAAGCTGCGTGTGAACCGATCTGTTCTCTTTATTGCAAGTTATTGCACCAAATAAACACGAATCAACATCAGAAGGTATGTTGAAAGATACAGTAGCTTACTGAAATGTGTCATGTCTTGTAATCTTTCCATGAGTAATTCAACCGTGGAAAGACGTGAATAAAACGCTTGTGAACAATATCACGTCAAGCCATTCAATGACTATCATGTTAGTTAGCTTGAAAAATGAACTCTATGAGCATTTTGCTGCTAATAATAATAATACCAGCTGACAGGTTTCCTCATGCTTACAGCTAGTTGAGAGAGATTGTTTCCTTGAGAAAAGTTAACATGTAGTCTACGTGCACCTGATCTTTAGCCAAATAAATGTAAATATTGAATCAAGATCAGAATCGAATTCAATACATAATCCAATACATAATTCTGACTCCAAGCTAAAAAAAAGTAAAAATTACAGCCCTGATACAAACCAACCGAACCAACCCTTCACCCCTCGTTAAATATATTTTTGCCTTGATTTCAGTTTATTGAATATTGCTTGCAGCCCTTTTTGATGGTTTTATTTTGAACTGTTTGCTTTTGGCGATATAATTCCTTTATTCTCCTGTTCTATAATGTCTTGATGATTTGATGTCCCAGTCAACGACTGTGGGAGCAGTGGATAATTTGAAAAGGGGAAATACTGCTTGCTTTGAGGGCTTCTACTCGTTTGATTAAACATTGATGATTTTGCAGAGATGAGACCGACGGTCATGGAAAGACAGAAGAGCAGCGGCGCCATCTGCTGGTCAAGTATGGCCTCACACGATTGTTAAATATTTATGAGAAGGCACAATTTGTATGACATCCAGACAATGATCTTTTATAGCTAATATGGCAGTAAAATTGTTTGAGTAGAGATTATTATTGGGATTTAGCTCCGTGAGGTTGGGTTTAAATCACATAATGTCCTAATGCTCTGTATTTGCTTATTAGGATGTGGTTATTGCGTTTAAGGGACTTCACACGCAAACATAAATTCCCTCTCGTAAACCTCTCAACACACACATCTGTAGTTTTAACAACAAACTGTCTTCCACACAGGCCACATTATGCTTTTATACATTAATTTGATTGCCAAGCAAGACATTAATGTGTGCGCAACTGTGGATTAAATAATTTAATTTATTAGGTTATCTTCTTCAATACAGATTAATCAGTACGGAGACAAAACACTGTTTTACTCAACAATGAATGACAGTAACTTGTTTCACTGTTTTACTCAACAATGAATGACAGTAACTTGTTTCATGTTTCATTGTCCCTCTTCAAGCATGGGTTCCACTTCAGCAATGCCTATGTAAATTTAGTAAATTTGCTCCATTTTATTGGCAAGAAATAGTCAGTCACTCGGATTGTCAGTGCATATCTTCCTCCTCTTCCATGTTCTCTTCAGATTGAGAATCAAAGCGTTTGTTTCCTGAGCCAAAACTGTGAATGGCCTCAGACACTGTGTAGCGACTCCTGCCTTCAGCACAGGCCTCCATTTGTTTCACACTCAGTTGGGACTGTAGGAAGAGGTGCAAGCAACTGTCCGACAGCAGAACCGGACTGTGTACCACGCTGGAGGATGTAAGCATATAACCATTACATTTACTGCATTTTCTATGAGTCGAGATATACAGTACCTGATATGTCGCATGTTCTCAAGCTAAATGCATTCTTTCAGTCATGGTTTTATGCTTTAATTTAACATGTTCTTTAGGGCTATTCCGATACTTACATTTCTAGAAATTTCCGGAGTCCCTGCATACGGACTCCAATTTCTCTGGCATTGTTGAGACTGAAAAACGGGTTTTTTGGAGGAAGTTTGGGTAGATGTGTTCTGCAATTCATAGACAACCACAAAGATTCAGTTTACATGCGTCACACAGAAAGATGCCTATATGACTAAAACTTGAATATGTCTGCATCAACACAGCTGCCTATTTATGGTAATTATCAGTATTGTTTTTGTTAACTAAAACTATTGAACATTTGTTTGTTAAATAAAATAAAGTTAAATAAAGTCAAATTAAAGTATTAGATAAATAAAAAAATAAACGTAAAAAAAGTGCACACAAAATAAATATAATATTTTGGCAATTGCCTAAGTTTAACTTAAAGTACTAAAATTACAACACAATTATTTAAACTTGAACTAAAATTATAACGAACACTGAAAATATAAAAATGTCAGCTTATTCAAAATATTAATAAATAAAAATATATACATAATACTAAAATAATCCTTGTAATTAGCAACAATTAGTAATTAGTAAATAATAATAAATTACCTAAATTATATTTGAATTAATTGAGATGTATATTGGGTCAACGACGTGACGCTCAGTAATTTATTTTAAAATACATTAAATATGTAAGTCTCACATACTGTATACAATGACTTTCATACACTTGTGTACACTCACATATATTCCAGGAGTACGGAAAAAATGTGACAAATATATAATTTGATTTTTAGTCTTTCTTGAAAATTGTATAAAACCTCAAGAAACCAACATGAATACAAATACACTGCCCAACCAAAAATAATAATAATGCACCTCTTGATTGAATTAACATCACAACATTTATTTCCATCAAGAGGTGCATACATTTTTGGTCAAGATCTTGTACTCTGTCCAGCACTCTGTAAATTCTCCTTCAGCTCATCCCAAAGACTTTCAATGAATTTAAGGCCTGGACTCAGAGGTGCCGATGTGAAAATGTTTCTTCATTCTCCCTCCCAACCATTCTTTCACAATTTGAGCCTAATGAATCTTGACATTGTCAATCTGGAATATATCCATTATGTGTCTTCCTACATACCACATACATTAGGGCTAGAAGAACGGTTGCCAAACATATGCTAGAAACATAATAATCACTGCAATAATGATCCAATCATATACTTTTAAGCATTTGCCTATTTAAATCCATACAGCAACTTTTTGGCCAGGCAGTGTATATGTGTCAGTTTGATGGGTACACTTTGTGAGATTTTTTTAGTCTTTCTTGAAAATGGCATAAAACCTTGAGAAACCAACATGAATACAAATATACGAACTTGGTATATTTTAAACTCGCTTTTAAAAAGATTTTTCCTTTATCATGGACTATACATCATTGACCCTATTACAAACCTATAACCATCAGTGTGCAATTACTGAACAAAGTAAATAACTGGAATATGATGCAGTGTTTACATACATGAGCATGGCATTTTCCTGTAGCTTTTTTCTTAGCCACACAAACTCGCTGTATCTCCGCCGCACACAGGAACACTTCTTAGTGAAGGCCAAACTGTTTGTCTAAGTGAATATAAAATACAGAGAATGATCAGGGAGTTTCTGCCCTCTTGTTTGACTATTTTGAGTCCTATATACGTTTCTATTGCACTTACATGTATACAGATTTCATAATCCATGTAGGCATGCCAGAAATCTTCCTTCTGGATGCGAGGGTCCCTCACCCACACTCCAGTGAATTCCTGCATACGTCCAAACGTGAAAACAAGACCTCACACATACGCTCACAAACTCACATTGGACAGGAACACATAGCCAGTCCTCTGAGGTTTAAAAATGGGAAGAATAAAGAAGGAAGTGTTTTCATGAGACATTGGTCTTGTTGACCAACTGGGGCTGATTCATGGGAACTGTATAGACTAGGGAAAAACATCAGAGCTCATTTTGTGTCTCTGACTGACAGCGGTGCTTCATTTTTACCAGCCACCAGAGACATAGCAGACTAGCAGCGTCATTAAAAATAAAAGGAGCAGGAAAAAGCAGCTGGAAAAAATGGTACCATAACCATAACACCTGCATGTTTGAAACAACTAGCAGTACTTAAACAGTTATTCAAGGACAGTTGACTTGTAGCCAGGGCCTGAAGTAACACTCGTCAAGCGCCACATGCGAGTAAAAATCTGTGTTGCAGAGTATATGAAACAGAATATCGCCAGTAGGCCAGTAACATTTTGAGAAATTCTAAAAATGCTAATATTAATTCATTAACAGAACATGAACAAACGTGAATGACACTCGGGCCAGCGCTAGATAGTCACGAATGTTTAAGCCTTGCCAATTTAAATATTCAAGTGCAAGAAGACGAGACAGGGAACTTAATTTGTTACTTGCGCGCTGTGAGAAACGTTTTCTGTATGTAAACATCTGGCATGTGCGGCAAATAATGAATTGAGTTCTCTTTCGCGTCTTCTTGCGCTTGAACAGACATATTCAAACTAAATGAAGTCAAAATGCCTGTCTAGGCAAGTATCCTTGTAAACATAACGGAGTCAGTTATGTCTTAAGTGTACGTAAACAATTGAGAGAGAGAAAAGCATGTGTAACAGTATATTGGACCCATGCATTAGCTCTTAAAGTGACAGCAGCCTAATATTCCTGCTGCTGTCTGTGTTTTTGATGTTAATCAAACAACAAAAGACAAAGAACAATCGCTCATTGCTCTTGACTGAATAACATGTGTAAGTTTAATGTGGATTATTATATGTTTCATAGCTGATAAAATAGTATTTATGGCCGATAAAATCAAATAAACAGTCACCGGCCATTGGCAGGTTTGGCAAATAGTTTGTTTTAGGCCCTGCTTGTAGGTTTTCAAACCTCTTGATGTTACAGACTGGTTATTTTCAAATTTAATTGAGCATTTTGATATTTAGCACAAACTGGTAAGAAAAGACTGCTTTATCCATCTCTCCTATAATGTAGCAAAGATTATTTGATTTTTTTTAAACACCTTTTTACAGAGGACTGCAAATTAACATGTTTATAAGAATGATCACAACACTTCTGAGGTAATTTTGTGTTTATTTAAAGCACCTATAGAGATTGCTCACTCGAGATTTAATGTTAACAGTGATCTTTACAGAAAACAGGAAGCCAGGAGAGTGAAACTACCAGACAAAGGTCTTAAACACAAAACCTCGAAACCCAAATGACACTACTGCTATGAAAGTGACGCTGACCAACAACAAGTATGTCGATGTTCACAAAAAAATGTGATTGTATAGGCTACATTCCAGAATCTGTTTTGTGCAAATCTAAGGATTTATACCTGCATGAGCCACACTTTATGCTCTTACAGATCACGGGATCCATCACAGTATAACTTGAGTAAGTGCGTAACCAGGGGGTTCATAGTACATTTACACAACAAACGGTTCCTCTCGAGCAGGTTTTGTACATCCGTCGTCATCTCCCATGTTAAATCACAGTTCAGATCATAGTAACAAAGAGGACAGAAGAATGAACATCACAAGTGAACTTTTCAAACAACAGACACAACAACATTCGATTAATAAACCACTTGTACACTACAGTAGCGCTCTAATACTCCACTCACATTTCTACAGGTTAGTGTGTTAGGAAGAGCTTCACATTGGGCTGTGGATTCACACACTTTGAAAACACGCTATGTCAAACAGTAAACTTATGCCACAGTGTTTGTGTATGTGTAAAGCTGCCAGGAGGTACAGTAGTATTCACTGCTACATATTTCCCTCTCACTGCTCGTCTTCGCCATGCCAGGTCAGCTTGTCCTCGTAAAAGCGGATTACCATCTGGGGCCACCTTTTACTGGCCTCCCTGGCTGACAGTAAAGCTACCTCATCTGTGTTTTTCCTGCGATGAAATAAAGAAATAATGATCAGTCTTAATGGACAAACACGGCAAATTAAAAGCGCATAATCACCTGCTGCAGATTAGTGGAAAAAGAATTGTAAACTACGCCATATTTGTGCTGTGAGGGTGTTTTTGATCTTCATCTCTATTCGTGTGTTGAAGAAGAGCATGGACATGAAAGGAATTCCTTGGTATCAGTATTAACTTTAAGCAGAACAGTATTGTTATTGTTAACTAAAAGGATTAAAAATGGTTTACGTTAAATTAAAGTTGAAATAAAATTGAATTTATAAATTAGACAAACTTAAACTTAGCAAGTAACTAAAATAAAACAAAGTCAATTAAATTAGGTTAAATATAAATATTTAATATAAAACCCCAAAACTAATTAAAAAAAAAAGATAAATCAAAATCACTAAAACCTAAACTAGTACGTAATAGTATTTCATACTAAACAACAATGAAAGAGTATGGTCACAATATTATTTTAGTATTACTGAGATAATATACGTTTTTTTAATTTTTTAATTAGATTTTAGTTTTGTATTTTTCATTTTAGTAATTATGTTCCACCTGGCAACAATGTGCTTCTATTCTAATCATTTCTAAACAATTTTCCAATTAAGGCAATGTGGTGTGAAACATAAAAGCTAAGTTAATATTGAGGTGTGTATCGAAGCATGATCCGAGTTAAAAATTTCAATGCACTGATTACAGAATTTAATACTAAAGATTATCGTTACAACATCTAAAAACATGTAGTGATTTACATTGCATTTAAAATGAACAAAGCAGTGTGGAATGACAAAAATCTCCACAAATGGTCCAGTGTAGAAATATTACCACTTGATGAGAAACATGATCTCTCCTTGTTGGTCTGTGCATCCGATGATGCAGTCAGGTTCTGGGTGGCTGGGTTGTCCTGCTGGGATCTCAGCGCTGTGATCACCAACCTCCTCATTACCTCTCTCAATGAGTTCTTCCTGAAGCCGCTGGTGAGCCTGCATGATTCCAGACACTGAACTAAACTATCATAAAGCCTGACAAGGTTTTGGAAATAACTAAAACTCAATACTAAAGGTGTGCAATCCTGGTCCTGGAGAACCACCCTTCTGCTGAGATTAGCTCCACCCTGTTCCAAAAATCCTGATGACCTTGATTAGCTGGTTTAGGTGTGTTTAATAGGGTTGGAGCTAAAAACTGCAGGAAGGCGGGCCTCCAGATCCAGGATTGGACTTCACTGCTTTACACACAAAATACAACAACAGTTATTCATAATATGGCAAGTATTTAGCAGTGTATCTATTGCAATTAAATGTATTGACATTCAGGAATTTGAATGCTTATCTTGAAACAGTGTAGTGCAGTAATACCTGTAGGAGTGAACGTGAACGGCACAGCAGTATATAAAGACACTAACCATATCAGCGTCTAGCTCAGTTAACTCTTGCTTGGGCTGGAACTCAGGGTCTAGAGATTGACATCCCTCTTGATCTGTCTCTCCTGAGACGGTTAGGTTTCTGAGAAACTCCTCTATCAGCTCAGGACAATCCATGTTGTCCTCTGGCTCCCAGGTATTCTCTGCACTGATGGAAGTACTACAGAGCTGTCATATACTTGTAGATATATTAAATACATTTTTGACACACACAGGCAACATGGTTCCAGACACTCACTCTGTAAAGCCTTTCCACTTTAGATAGTATTCAACCTTTCCATCGTTGACTCTTCTGCGGATGATTTTTTCCACTGCAAACTCTTGGACAATGGTTGTCTCTTCTGCTTTCCTGTTTTTCACATTCTGCTTTTTCCTCATGATTTCCTTTAAAAACACAGCATTTAATAATATTTTCAAAGGCTTACATATTTCAAAATCTATTATAAAGCATTTATATTAGGTTTAGCAGACATATAACTAATAAAATAGGATATTTTGACATGAAGAGACTTTTTAAGGAAATTGGTTCGTGACGATGATTTGTTTTTGATAGGCCCGGAATATCACAAATACTAAACTTAGGCTACATTATACATAGAATTGTTGTTTAACAATAAAGTCGGAGGACTTTTCAAATAATTTTCCACTTGATACTTATGTATTTGTTTGTTTTTTGTTAATGTATCAAGCGATGTTCCATCTGACATCAAGGAATTCCTCAATGAAACAATGGCAACAATACGTTTACAATACGCCAGTGAAATCACCACAATATGTATGACGTATCACAAACTTTCGCAGTCACTGACCAAGCAGGTTAATATATTATGAATGGTTGTTTTGATGCATTTGATTATATTCATTCTACGCCACTGGTATGAATTTGATGAGTGCGCGTGCCCACCTGCCGAAGCCTCACGCGCAGTTCACGCGCTATTCTTTTATTCCCACTGCTGGCGATTAATGCTCGTGCAAATGATCAGTCTCTGTACAAACAACGCGGTGCATCCACACAGAAGATCACAGTGCTGTTCAGTAATCTAGCATCGCTTACTATGTCGCCTTCACGATCATGGCTTTACTGTTGTGTTTACATAACTTTTCATGAATGAGTCAAATTAAACATGGCCGATTGGGAGAAGGGGAGGAAGTGGTTTCAAAGGGAAGAGGTCAGTTCAGGAAACCGGGGGAGGAATCCTTAAAGGCGCATCCCGAGACCAGAGCAAGACCTGGCTGAATTTCTCTGCACACACGGACGTTTTTTTAGGGAAGGGTTTAATCTGACACTAGATAATGTAGCGCAAAACGCCCTTAGAATTGGCTACTATGTAATATATTTTGATTACGATGATTTGCACTCATGTTGGCAACAGTTGCAGTTTTTAATGCCAGATGATTTTGTTTGTTAAAAAAGAACGTTAGTGATTTATTGTGTAGCCTATATATAGAAACTTTTGCGTCTCGGTTTAGTAAAGATGTAGATAGGGAAAATACCTTGTGTTGTGTTGACGTCACAATTGTAATGTAGTCGAAGGACACTGGAGGGCGCATGCGCCACTCATTGTATGCATTTATAAAGCCTACAGCTCAAGTTCAGTGATTCATGGTTTATCCGTGTAAACTGAAAATATTTCTTAAACGATGCTTACTTTAGAATTATAGAAAGGCCCACTTTTAGGGCCAAAGAGTAATTCTATTAGTTTTATACTACACTTTTATTACTATTATTATTATTATATTATTATTATTATTTTACTACTATTATTATTGTTGTTGTTGTTATTTTACATTCTATGCACAGTCTTGTTTAGGCTATAGTTATAGCCTATTTATAAATATATAATCAGGGTATAACTGCATTATTACCATATGGATATAGAATATTAGTAGGCTATTAATTAGTATATTTAGATGGACTAACCAGTTCTATCATCGCAAATTCTTTGTTGATTTGTTTTGGAATAGATATACTATAAATACTCTTTAATGCCAAAAAATTAATAATTAATAATCAAATTAATAATAGGCCTAAGGTAATTAATAACGATGGTAATATGAATCGAGGATTGCATCTAAACCTGTCTGCACGGGATAGTTGAGCGAGCTTTAGGTAATAATACGGAGCTCTTTACTTTAGGACACTTTCATGTAACTGACCATTGGTTTCGGTGTAGAACTTAAGCTCCTCCTATTTTCTAATTGATTGACAGGTTTCCACCTTCCAATCAGAGAGAAGGTTGAATCGGATTGGTTGAGTTTTTCACCCAATTGCATTAAAGATATAACATTAAAGAAATAGGCCTATTTGGTTGTGTACCTTCCACAACAAAAGTTTTTCCTTATAGGCTTTACTAGCATTTTCCTATATTTTTCCTTCATTACTTATTCATTGACTTAATATTTCGTATGTTAAAATGATAAAATGAAGACACAAAATCTGGACTTTTTAAAATTAAAATATTGTATTTGATGTTAAACCCTGCCACTTCTTAGTGGGCCCACAAGAGGTCGCAATTATCCATCCATAAATCTCTTGGCGTCGCCATTTTCAGTGGTTGTTTTGTTCCTCATAAAAAGTTTTATTTTTACGAGATAACTTATAAAACGTTTCATTATTGTGTATTTAACACTTGCTCCGTTTACTTTATAATTTCTTTATTAACTTTATATCTCCTTTGACATTTATGTGCAATTTATAGCTTCAAGACTCTTGTTCAAAAGCAAGTTTTTATGAGGTTGCACGAAATCAAGGCAAATTCTTAAGGATTAAAACGATTTTTAATCCCAAAGTATCATTCTCTTTTTAAAAAAAAAAAAAAAAAATCATCACTGCACATAAAAAATGGCATTTTATCATGTATTGCATATTAAACCATTATATGTCAAACCTCAAATTTGTCAATTAGACCTGCAACATGTAGCCTAGAATGACATGAATTTGAAAAATGCTTCATGTCATATAAACATCATGTTGAATTATTAATTCAGAATACATTTTTAGTATTTTCATCTGCATAAAGTTTTATTTTTCTTTATGTTGAACAAAAATGACCCTCTCTGTACATTCCATGTAGGCCTATAGGAGGAGCGCCGTTATTCAGCTGACGGCCCGGGCCCATAATGGTTGACAGATGGGCTATAGAACGAGAGTTCTGTGTTTAAGGAAACTCACAAATTTCTCTCTCTCTCTACACACAGTCCAGTCCTCCAGTCTGCTCTCCATCTCCAGCAGTGACAGTCCTGAGTGGGCCATATGTGAATACGTTCATTAATGCAGCTATGGCTCCTGTCAGGGTAGAAATGTGTCCAGATGGAGGGACCCCACTGTGCAGGCCTGGCCAGCACTCGAGAGCTGATGTGTGGGGTGGGGATCCGCTCTAACTGGACTCTTTCTCTCCGTGCGGGTTCCCGAGTTTTGGCACGCCACCGTCCCTCGGCTCAGGTTACAGGTATGCTCGTGCCGGCCGTGTCAGACATGTTGTTTTTTTGTGGCTTGTCAACCCCATGAACCCTGAACAGATTAGTTTGAGTTCAATTTAATGAAAGTGTTCTGTGGAGCTTAATTCATCGAGCAGTTTGTGAAAGGGTCAGCTGATTTACACCAAGGAATCCGAAAGGCTGACATTAAATATGGTCCCTTCATCTGTGCATCTCGCAGCTGACACTGACCAGGTTTTCTATAACCAAAGTATTCTCTATTATTTCTATCATTTTGTCCTTAAGGACAGAGTGAAAAAAAAAACATTTTTCCTTTTTTTTAAAATCTGCTTAAACCAGCTCATTGTGAACCATCTTAAAATTACTACACAGGGGAAAAAAAGCACCTTTCACCTTATTATTTGAACAATCAATAATATAATTACTAATATTAATTCACATTTATTTGGAATTTTTTTATATTTTGTAAATCAGCACTTTATGTGAACTCAATAAAAATTAAATGACTAAAATATTATTATTTTTAACACAGGAAAAATGATCTTTTTATTGGAACATATAATATTTGTGTTATTAGGCTATTATTGCTCTCTAATTAGCCACACAATAAAACACAAAAACCTTAAATCCCACCAATTTAAACTATTTAAAATTTTATACCTGAAAATGAATTTGTACTTTTAAAGGGTTCATTCAAATATATCAATTTTTAAAAAAAAAAATACATTGTGTAAATCAACACTTTATGTGAATCACATTAAAATTAAATGACTAAAATATTACATTTTCTTAACACAGGAATAAGGTATCTTTCATCTTTTTCAAACAAATATTGTTATTACTGATTATTGGCTCGCTCCTGCTTTGGCTTATATCCATTCTATTCAGTTACTTCTTTCATTTATTTATTCTCATTTTCATGCAGTTGAACGAGCCGGCTTGAATTCAGATTTTCATTGCTAACTCACTATTGTGGATGTGATTCAACCTCAACGCATGTCTAATTCCACCACGGATGAATCAGAGAATCGGGGGAGCCAGGGAATCTCACTGAAAGCGCCTCGCAGTCTTTCCCAGCAGTGTGTTTGTTAAAACTGTAGGTTCTGTATGTTTTACCGGGTATATCTCGCTCACCCATCGTACTCTGCCTCTCCATATCAGCACTCAGATCACCATTATCAGCGAAGTGTCGGCTACACTCAGAGCAGTCATCTGTCATTCTCCTTCTTTTGCTTTGAAAAGCCCAAACCTGACACCGGCTGACAGCCTCTGTTGTTTACCCAACTAGAGGGACACGGGCGATTGTTCAGAGAACATGACACGGCATACTGGGCGGCAATATGGCGGACGGCTGGGCCCCCTCATCAGCCGGCTCTCAGCACCTCCGTCAAGACTCCAAACCCAACAGAGTATCAGATTCACAGGCCCATATTTAAGCAATCTGAGGTTCACATGATGATTTGGGTAAGGGACTGGGGGATTGAGGCAGGGAATTGAAACTGACATTCTGCTGGGGGAGAGACGGAGAAGTTGAGGAAAGACCACCTGGGTAACCTTTCATAGAGCTGTCCTCTGGTGCCAAAACACCCTGGAATAATATTCTCCCTCTCGCTCTGTTTCACAAGTCTTGTACTAAGTGCTAAAACAGTGCCAAAACTTGTGAACGTCTTCAGTTTGATTAAGCTGATTCGGATTGTTCAACATCAAACTTCTAATTTTATAATCCTAATAACTCTACAGCATTATTCTTCATTTGTTTACAACTGCATTTTTTCAGTAAACACCAAATCCCTATAAAAAAGGACTTTGGGTGTTACATGTTATGAAATATTATTTCGAAACGTCCTCTAAACATAAAAAAAGTCATTAAAAATGTGAGAGAAAACATTAAGGGAAAGTTATAATTTTGCAAACATTATGGGAACATTATTTTTGAATGTTCTGTTTTGAAACTAGTAATAACATTTTAAAAATGTTAGATGAATATCCAGCTAAAACGTTTCAGGAAAAAAACCATTCCATATATTTTTGTTTGCTAGGGTGTTACATTGTATGAAAAATGTGACAAGGGATAGTTCACTCAAAAGATGTTACAAAGTAAACCCGAATAAGATGGCAAAACTATTTTTAAAAAATGGTTACATCAAATTTTTAAGTTAAGAAATTCAAAGTTTAAGCAGAACTTGCAGATTTTTATTTTGTACTCATATCTTTTTATTTACTCTTAACTTAAAACATTTGAGTAAGCTTATTCATACATTTCATTTAAAATTATCATTGTAATCTCAACTTAAATATTTTTACTTGTGGAAACTTGGCAAGCTTTAACTAGTTAATTAAATAAATGCTAACTTGCTAATTGGTAACACAATGCTTTGATAGCATTTGCACAGCATATCAATTGCTGAATGAGTACAGCATTATAGAACATTTAATATGTACCTCTTCTCAAACTAAGCTCATGCTCCATAACCCCCCAAAAACCCAACATAACAGAAACTCTTCTAAATGAACATGGCAAAACACATATAAATCGCCCATTTTACTCAAAAAACATTATATAACACTTCATTTTAGCATTTACTCTCCCTTTTGAGTGCCATGACAAAGCATGCTGCATGGGAAATAGAAATCCTAGCCCAATTTCAGTTCATTTTAAGTTTGTCTAAATTAAAAGAAGGCAGTTCACAAAACTCAACACAATGAAACAATT